AAGTCTACAATCCGCCCCTCTTCAGGGCTACCAGAAGTCTACAATCCGCCTCTCTTCAGGGCTACCAGAAGTCTACAATCCGCCCCTCTACAGGGCTACCAGAAGTCTACAATCCGCCCCTCTACAGGGCTACCAGAAGTCTACACATTCAGGAAAACCAGCACTTACTTTCCTCCTCCTTGCGCAGATGCAGAACCACCAGGTTGGAGATGCGGCGATACTCAGCAAAGGAAAGTCTGAGAGACGGCTTTGCTGCATCACCGTTCTCTGGGGTCTCGGCGTGTCCATTCACGCCATCAGCTTCTCCGTGACCTAGTGAAACCAGGCCATTAGAAACACTCCCAAACAGACTATGTGCATCACAGATTTGACTGGTATAGGCCAAGAGCAAATCGCACTTGTACCATTCACAAGGTCAGCTTCCTCATCTTCTTCCTGCTGCTCATCCTCCTGCTCCAGGTTGACATCTGGTGTTTCCACCCGGATGATGGATTTGTTCAGTAACCTGAAGGCCTCCTTCACATGTTTTGGCTGGACCTGCGCAGACCGAGATCATACTTTGATGACATCCATCACCACAGAAGTCAAAAATTGCAAACGGTACAATCTGTAGACACACCTGAACATGTTTACACTTCATAAAGAATGAATACAAAAACAAGGTGGAGAAGAAATTCACCCAAGGAAGCCTCCACTCAGCTTGGCAGGGGATCAAGAACGTGGCCGCAAGAACATGACCGTCTCCACCATCCACAGGTCCATCCAGGTGGCAGGTCACAGCCCAATAGCCCTCCCCAACAACCTCAACAAACTCCTTCTTCATTAGGTTTGACACTGACAACACCTCCCGTCTCAAAGACATGGTCTCCTTCCTCACGCCCGCAGGAACAGAACTTTCCTTCGACACAGAGGTGGCGAGAGCCCTCAGAAGGACCAAGGTGAGCACAGCACCTGGCCCAAACAACATCAGTGGCCGTGTCCTGCAGTGCTGTGCAGTGCAGTTGGGGGGCGTGTTTCAGTGGCCGTGTCCTGCAGTGCTGTGCAGTGCAGTTGGGGGGTGTGTTTCAGTGACCGTGTCCTGCAGTGCTGTGCAGAGCAGTTGGGGGGCGTGTTTCAGAGATCAATGGACAGCAGCACAGTCCCCCAAATGTGGAAGTACTCCACTGTGGTCCCCATTCTTTGCGTCCTGTCACCTCTTCTGTTCATCCTGTACACCGATGACTGCAGGTCCTCTCACCCAGACTGTCATCTAGTGAAGTACGCGGATGACGCAGTTCTCCTGTCTCTGCTCTCTGGCTCCTCACATCAGCACAGCTCAGTGCTCAGTGAGTTTGTGCAGTGGTGTGGCAATGCCTCCCTGGAGCTAAACGTGGAGAAGACTAAGGACATGGTGGTGACGTTCTCTAGTGAACAGAGAGAGCTGGTGACAGGATCTGTCAGCATAATCCACAGGCAGACAGTGGAGGTGGTGGAGGAGTACAAATATCCGGGCACAATCTTCGACTGCACCCTGAAGTTTGCCTCTAACACTGAGAACATTCTAAGAAGATGTCAACGATATATCCTAAGGAAGCTCAACAGCTTTGGGGTCAACAAGGTCATACTCAGAACCTGCTACTACTCCTTCATTGAGTGTCCTCTGTTTCTCCATTGCCTGCTGGTATCACTCCACCAGCCTGCCAACACAGTGAAAGTCTGCTCTAAGATCATCGGACTCCCGGCCAGAGCACTTTCATCCCTGTGTGAGCAGCAAACTCTAAGAGCAGCGTGCAGGATTCTGCAGGACACTCCCATGCTCTGTACCCGGAGTTTGAGTGGGTCCCCTCACATACGAAAACACATACATGTCATGGTGACCCGCCTTACGAGGAACGCAGCCTAGCTCTTGATCAGTGGGCTTATTTGGACGCATGGTTGCTCAGCAGGACAGTATGACCCTGGAGTGGCCGGCCGCAGCTCAGCGATGACGCATGTTTAACATGCTGACGACGACGCTGACGACCTGCAGCAGGACCGGTAGCTCACCTCATCGCAGCAGTGCATCCGGGCCATGGCCTCGGACAGACGAATCATGCTTTCCAGCTGCCTCACGGTGATCCTCCAGGCCGACTTGCTGACTCCGGAGCCGTCCCTCTGCCGCAGACGCTTGTACTGCTCTACGATGAAGTCCTCGGACTCCTTAGAGATCTGAGAACATCGGAGGCGGCGAGAGCGCAGGTAAATTAACGAGGGTAAGGGGAGTAAGTGACAATGCACGGCGGCACAATATTTCACGGTTCAAAAATATGACGACAATGCACATCGTAAGGGTGTAACAATGCACCACACTTATTAATGTGGCCACAAGAGGGCGCAACAGACTCAGTTTTGCTTGGAGATGTCATTACTGCATTTTGCACTGGAGTTTGCAGAATATGGATAACACTTCAATAGAAAAAGAAATGGTTTGCAAATGGCTTTTTTAAAAAGTAGTAATGATAAATTTTCTTTATATAGCACTTTTCATGTCAAAGAAAGTACCTTGTAGGTGTCTAAAAAGGAACAAACAAGAACTGTGAGATTTTAGTTTGCTTTCAATCATATTTTGTTATTTTGTTGAATGTATTGTGAGTGCATTGAACCGTAAACCCTAAATCACCTATGGAACTGAATCGTGAGTGGACTGCATCACTACACCCCTAAAAGGGGGGGGGGGCTTTATTTAACACCAGCAAATGAATTGCAAGACTGCAACAGAGCCCCTTACCTTTGGCTTAAACTGTCTGGCAAAAAGAAGGTATCGACGAATCTCCTCCAAGGTGTAGAGCCTATCGATAGACTCCTGAATTCTGGAGTGGAGGTCAACTATACGTCTGGCTATGGCGTAATCTGTGACCTTCAAAATCAAACACGGGACGTCAAACCAACAGATTTCAGGCCATATCTGGCAGCTTTAGTGTGTTCCTCAACGTGCAGGACACTGGACGTCTCACCTCATTGCAGTCATCTACCAAGATGAAGAACAGATCAAATCGGGACATGATGGGTGCAGTCAGATTTACATTCTGCTTCAGAGACTTGGAGCGGTCGTACCGACCGCCGACGGGATTAGCGGCTGCTAGAATGGAGGTCCGGGCATTAAGTGTGGCCTGTAGCAAGGAAGCAGCAAGGAAAAGCAACAGCAAAGCTGTCAGAAGCGCTTGGGTTCAGGAGGAATGGCAGGCGGCTTTTAGCTCAACTGAACTGAATATCAATTTCTGAAACAATTTGATGACAAGCTGACTGGACGATGAACCAAAAGGTTACAGCACCTTCTGTAGCCAATGATAACCGACATACGTCAATCTCCAATTAAACTGTACATGAAGAGGAAGTTACAGAATTTAGTTTCCCCCATTACCGAGTGAAATGATGATACAGACAATGATAAAGATGGCAGAGGAACTGAAACCGCTGAACTCCACGAGGAAGAGCAGCCTGCGATGGCCCCACCTTGACGCCTGCTTTGGTGATGGAGATGGTCTGCTGCTCCATGGCTTCATGGATGGCCACCTGGTCCTTCATCTCCATCTTGTCAAACTCGTCTATACAGCAGACACCCTGGAGCGTGAAGGACCAGAGCACCAAAACCAGAAAGTTAGACTTGCTGAAATGCAAAGAACGCTGAAGACCTGAGCGGAGGAGACGCCAGCTCACGTTGTCGGCCAGCATGAGAGCCCCGGCTTCGATGACAAACTCGTGTGACTCTTCGTCCCGGACCACAGCTGCGGTCAGACCAGCGGCACTGGAAGCTTTGCCACTGGTGTAGACAGCACGGGGCGAGAACTCCTCTACGTGCCTGGAGAAAGACAGGGAAACTACTCACATCTACCACAGCCATGCAGGTGGAAAAAGCGGCGTAGTGGGTAAACATCTCAAGAAGTTCAGCTAGAACAGGGATGGACAGTCTTATCTGCAAAGGGCCAGTGTATATGCAGGCTTCTGGAATAACCTGTACGTCAGCTGTTCAAACCCAGGACTCTTCAGCAAATAAGTCATCTAATTTGTAATCTAATTAGGGAGATGCAACGAAGACCCACATGCACACACACAACGGCCCTTTTTGGATAAGATTTGCCACCCTTGAGCTTGCAGATTACTGTTGCATATCCCTGAAGCACCCCCTCCCCCCCACTACAAAAACCCCAGAACAAAAGTACTTCACCTAGAGTCGGTCCAGTAAACAAATCCAGCTATACAAAGGCAGACTCCTTTATGTACCAACCAAGAGACTAACTGTATTTCACAGGAAGAGGTCTCACTTGAGGAACTGGCTCTTGGCAGTGCTGGGGTCTCCCACAACGCAAACGTTGATGTCCCCTCGGAGAGACGTGCCCTCCATGGTGGTCTTGGGCACTCCGCCGAACAGCATGAGCAGAATACCTCTCTTCACCTCGTCGTTACCTGAAGGCACACGAGAGCCCCTGAGTTTAACCCTTTCTTGCAGTTTTGTGAGAATTACATAAATACATTTATCTTGCCACTGTAATGAGGAGCTGATCACTACGGCGACGGCAGCTGACTAACCGTGAATGGTGGGGAAGAGGCTGGTACACAGATTATGGTACAGGTTCTTGTCTTGACTCATCTCAAACACCTTCTCCCATTCCTTCACCGTCATCTGGTTCTTAATACCCTCCGCAGTCTGCTCCTCATCCCGGATCTCCTTCCCACCAAACTGCAACACAGTGACCAATGTCATAAGCCTGTGTTCGGACCAGCCGACAGACGTATACCACCTAAAAATAAACTTTCACGACATCTCAATTTATTATTCAAGATTCAAGAAGTTTGTCACTTGCAGTTAAACACGCACAACGTGCAGTGAAACGTAGTCATGAATCACTCCTGCGCTGGTTTAACTAAAAACAGATTTGACAAACTAAACGCTAAATAAAAAACTAAGACCTATGAACTAAGAATAATAGCTTAAATCTAACAAATACATAAATACACAGTATGTACTACAAATAAACAATATGTACTCAAATAATTGAAAGTGGCATTGTGCTGGTTAAAACAAATGTGTAAATGGGATTCCGGTGCAGACACATGTAGCACAGTGATGACAGTAATGATGACAGTAATGATGACAGCGTGTCTGAAATAATGGGCTACATAGTAAAATATAATGTGTGTAGCCCCTTACCCTGGGGTTCGTAGGCGCCACATGACAGGCCAGGAAGGCCAGCTTGTACGAAAGGTCTCGCACTCCCAAGGCCTTCAGACCACGGATTCCTTCGTTCTCGTAGCCCTGTGCCCCAGCCGTGCGAGAGCTGGTCTCAGCTCGGACACCTGGGGGAGACGCATAACAGTCCATCCCTATTACTGCTTTGGTCAAAACACAAAATACTTTGTGGCACAAATGTCGCCAGGTGTTCCTGGGGACCTGTAAACGTCCTGCTGTATGTTGTTAGTGTAACAACTATGCTGTCCGGGGAAAAAAAATGTAATACTTGCCCTGCACAACACTGGATTGTACCTGGATTGGCCAGCATGGCCACGTCCGGAACCACAATCAGCATGCCCACGAAGTCGCACTTGTCCCCGGCCTGCGCGGACTCCACGGCCTCGGCCCGCAGGATGACCTCCACGCTGCGGGGAATGGAGCCCCGCGGCAGCTCAGCCTGCGTCTCCTGGATACGCACCTGCCAGACGGAGAAAAACTCAACCGGCTCAGACAGCAGCTCTTGTCCAATTAGCTGGCAGCTTCAACCCAGGAGCAACGCAGAAATACTGTGTCACACATAATAAGTCTTAAACAGTGATGCACTGGAAAACAGTTTATATATATTTTTTAACTGAATCAGGTAGCTAATTCGATGAGGAGGAGCAAACTACGACACTGGGGCACACACCTTCTGGAAGTCGATGAACTTGGACTTGTTGGTGTCGAGCATGAAGCGCCGCCGGTTGTTGCAGACTGGGTTGCGGCAGATGTTGGGCTGCGTGTACTTAAACTGCTGCTCCACGTCGCGCACCAGCATCTGGCAGTCCAGGCACAGGAAGGTGGCGCTGACCAGCTCGGGGTGCACCGGGTGGGTGCGCACTACCTGACCACCGATCCGGATCAGCGTGCCAATCCGGGCGGTCGTCAGCTCACGGATCCTGATGAGGGCACCGTCTGATTACACGGCTGAACCCCCACCACAAAATCCCAAATGCCAATACCAAATCCAAATGACTCCTCTAAAGATGAACAACTAGTATGTCCGGTAATGAAGAACATCATATCATAAATACATGTACTATATGTGCAAAGGAATTAGTTTGACCTATAAGCTTCCCAGCGGCTCATCTTACTTGTGTCTTGTTGGCAAGTCCTGTATTGCCACGTAAAACTCCTTGCTGAGAGGAACATTTCCGTGATCACGAGCAAAATTTCGTACAGACCGGCACAAAAAAGGATAAACTCTGGAAAAACAGGAAGACGCAACATTAATGTCACGCACGTGGTATCAGGAATAACACTGTCACGAGATCAGTAATTTTGGCATTTCTCAATCTTGACTTATAAATAAAGGCTAATACAGTTTCTGATGATCCCCTTTGGGTATTATAAGCCAGAAAAGGACCGGGCCTCACCTGTAGAATTCCTCCTGAATAGTGGTCGCAAGCTCCTGGTTGAACTGCTCCAGGTCCTGGAAGCTCACTAGCAGCGTGTTCCTCTCCGGCCGGATAAGCTCCTCCGCGTCGCGCAAATACTTCACTTCGCCGTCACTGTTCTGAAATCTTATTAAACGAGCACGACCCTGCTTGTCAGCATGACGGAGTAGCGGACCGCAAGTCTGTACGCAGATAAGCTGTCGCTAGCTCACCAACAAAAGTAAGTGCCAGTGTCGCCATGTTAAAAGAACAATAGACAAGTCCGGAGGTACAGGACCCGGCGGCCACTGATCTACAATGAACATTCTAGCGAGCTCAAAAAACACGGAATCGCTCACATTCAAGTAAAACATCCACAGAAACAAATATTCCTATTCGGCCTGCCAAATGACGAAAAGTATGAAAATCAACCGAACATATTCCGTATATCTTGCAAATTATCAGTTAAATAAACGATCAAGCAAATCTTTAATATTAAATGCCTAATAAACTACTTACTTTTTTCTGAAACCTGGCATCTAACTAAATATATTGATACACTTACTATAAACAGAATACTGCGTATCCAGTAAACCATGAGTCCTACTTACTCTTCTAAGAACACTTGGAATAGTTTCTGGCACTTTTCTGCCAAATCATCCTTGATAACTTGTCCTGAATTATCAGATGCTTGTGTTGCAAGATCCATGTGTGGATGCGTTAAAACAAACCAAACAAAAAAACGGACTACAGATCCGGAGAAAAGCCGACTATTCTCTTGCAGCTCACCTCTGACCACTTTCGCGCCAAGCACACACCACGTAATAATTTTCCCGCCACTAGCAACCAATCACTTGCTCTATTTCCGCATTAGAGCTTTGGTTACAAAATTTTGGCCAATCAGAGACATATATAGGTGGAGTCTAAGTGGAATATATTAAAAATGGACGGCATTACATCGTGCTGTCAAGTAGTGTGTTCTGAAGCTTTGCGTCTTAAAATATAGCTCGTGGAGTTCAGTCAAAATCAAAATATTTTCCGTTGTAGTATTATAACATTTATTAAGCCTATCAAATCGCAAAACTATGAACTGTACCGAACACATATACTTTGTACATTTCTAGATTGTGTATTTTAAAAAAGTTATTAAAAAAGTACACACAGGAGACAGCATTTTTAAATACTTTTATTCTTAAGGATTTTCCCCAGATTAGAAAAAAGATCACCATCGCTAAAATGTTACAAGAAAAATGTTTGTTCTTAATTGCAGTTATACATTGTTATAGAGAACTAGTTGTCAAGAGACGAATTGTGTAGAAAAGGATTAAGATACTAGGAAGGATTTGTTTGAATAAATCGTGGATTTCCATCACCAACCACCTTCTTAATATTAATTTTCTTTAGCTTTGTAAAATCATACTATTAATAGGATTTGACATCTTAATTTTGTGAATCGCTGTGGCACTTCATTTAACAGTAATCTTTTTCCCTTCACGCAGAATCCAGGAGCGGTCCACCACGCTTGTGCTTCCTCAAGGGGTCAGGCGTTTAGGGTCACGGGGGAACATGGAGGTCTGGCGGATGTTGTGCAGACCCAGGTACAGCATGGTGACTCGCTCCAGTCCTGTGAAGAACAGACGACTGTCAGGACAACCATACACCAGTTAATTTACATTTTATTTATTTAGCGTCCGCTTTTATCCAGTTATATACATTTGATCAGGGTCCAGCTCAGGGGCCTAATGGTGAGATCATTCTGACAGTCATGGGAATTGAACTGACATCCTTCTGGTCACAAGTACAAGGGTCTTAACGTGCTGAGCCACACGTAGCAGTTAACATGTTCTACACTGGTACAAGAAAGAAATTTGTGGCTATTTTAAAATAAATTTCATTGTAATTTCTGTAGAACCGAAAGAATTTCCTTAATTTAAATGGAGAAACTTATAAAGTCGACCAGAACCTCAAAGTCTCAGAGAATCGAACAGTGGGACATCACCAGCAACACAACGTGTGAAATGCCATATTTAGTTTGTTACAGTACCGACAGTGACCAACTCCCTTTAAAGTGTTTATTTCATACCTGTTTAGCCATGACAACAAAATAAACATGGCCAACGCGCTGATGAACAGCCTAGCGAACGTTATCTGACTCGTTTCATCTTCTGATCACCGTCTCCATAAAGCAGAAATCAGCATAAATTACTACTATACATTAAAGTATAAATCTGTACCGCAAACAACCTTGGAGCAAAAAAAGTGTATTGCACTGTGGTATCTATGTTAGCCACCTAGACTAAGAGCATTTTCCAAATCAGCTGACATTAATTTACCTGCCATGGCTATTCGGATTTAATATCATCAGTGAAGAATTTCGAAAACGATTGTTACATTTTGTAACTGCATTGATGTTCAGCTCCATCTGAACTCTTAACAGGTGTGAGCCTGTGCTTAATTTGTGGCGAATCCTGTCAGAATACGTTCTGACAGGAACGTTTTTTGAACATCTGCGTTCCGGAACTTATTTGCACAGATCCGGCAGTTCTTCAGTAAAAAAAAAAAAAATTTAAAAACGTATTCTGGGACCTGCTTCTGCTTCGTTACTTCTCCGCTCTCACTACCCTTTGCGTTGCGGCACTTTCTGATTTACAAATTAAGCACTGGGTGTAACTGTAGCTGGAATTCATCTTCATTTCACTGGCAACGCGTCGCACAATCGCGGCCAGACGGGTTACCTATGCCGCCACCGGCGTGAGGGGGAGCCCCGTAACGGAAGGAGTCGATGTAAGCCTTGATCTTCTCCAGGTCTGCAAGACACAAAAGAAGCATCTTTTAGACAGAAGCTGTGGTTAACGCAGTGAAGCCGCCCCAAGGGTGGGACTCTGCCCTGCTCCCTGTGTCTCCAGTGCGAGGGACCAGCGGCGGCTCACCGATGTTGTGGTGCTTGGCCCTCTCTGTCAGCAGCTCGGCGTCGTGGACCCTCTGAGCCCCCGACAGGATCTCCTCTCCTCTCATGAACATGTCATAGGAGTTGGAGTATTTCTGGGAACATGATGAGGGGTGTGGTCTATGCGATCAGATCGCTTTGCCGTTCAGGAAGCATCATAGAAAATTAAAGGGGGGGGGGGGGAAGGGCGGCGCACTCACAGGGTTCATGGGGTCAGGCATGGTGTAGAAAGGCCTCACTGCCAGTGGGTACTTGTCCAGGATGTAGAAATCAGTATCATACTAGCAGGAAAAAGTCACACAGGAAGGTGAGATTCTTAAGTATCCTGCTTAAGTAAATTTATATAATGTTCAATGAGGCGTTTTTTTTAACTGGTCAGATAAACACACATCTCTAGTTTCTTTGGAAAGTGCCTCCTAAATGTCAAGAAATATCAGCCTATTTCATTACGGTTGTACAAATTACCTTTTCTTTGACAAGACGGCCGAGCAGCTTTTCATTGGGAGTGCTGTATAAACAGGTAAATTAAGGAGATTATTTACATATCAATGGACTGCAAACAGCTGCATTTCAAATGTCACTCAAATTATAGAAAAATGGCTTTGAGTGATATTCAACCTAAAATATTTCAGTAGTTATGTTTTACATACTGAACTTGGAAATAAACTGCTGTCTGACTAAACAGCTAAACAAAACAATGTAAATTGACACTACAGAGCTGTGTGTATATAAAAAATCTCTGCCTTGCTTTTATACCAACACAGACACATGCTAGTCAAACTTGAGTTCACTCTTTGAGGTTCCAATTCTCAGCCACATGCAAGTCAAACAATCTGGTTCTGGCCTACAATGCAGCTTAAAACTCTGAAGGCTGTATTTCTACAGAATACGATGGCAAAAACTACACACAAAGTGTCAGAAATTCCCTACCAATCAGAATTATCCAGAAGGTGCTCATTGCCTATTGTCGCCCCCTAGTGGTGAAACATGCTCCCAACAACTACAACATAAATTTTAAAATACTCATGTTTTCCAACAGCACCGCAAGCTTTAAAATGAAACCTTCCTTGCACGGTTAATGTTAAGAGTGAACTGTAAAAATGTACATCACATATTTCACTCTGAATGAAAACACCAACCAAATTCATAGAACATCAATGCAAGTTAAGCTCAACATGTGGACATGTCACCCTTTCTCCCTCACCTGAGATCTTCCTCATCTCCCATCTCCACCCCCGCCTCTCTCAGCATGGCCACGGCCTCAGGGAACTCCAGACGAAGGGAGGGCTCCAGGAATTTGAAGGGCTCACTGGGATACTGCTTGTTTACTGTGCAGATCTCTGTCTGGAATCTGTAACACCCCCAAAGACCCACATGTACAAAGGGGGTTGGCGGGAGACATATCCTGATAAAAACCTGAGATCCTGATGAGCATTTTTTCTGATCAAGAGGCGAGAACAACTTCATTTGGGACAGCAGATCAATCAAATTCATCACTGTGAGTGTCAGTTGGGAGTCCGGAACACGGTACCCGATAGATCTCTCACATACTCAGTGTTTTTAGAAAGTTACATTCCTACCACACACAAGTAACTTAATGAACCCAAACTGCTACATTCCTACTTGAGTATTTGTAATCCACCCCCCAGTCGCCCATGTGTTTTACCTGTCCCTGAGTCCTTTAAAAATCTGGACCATGGTGTTGGCGATGGACTCGATGACCTCGTGGTAGTGATAATTGAAAGCCATTTCGATATCCAAGCCCACAAACTCCGTCAGGTGCCGATGTGTGTTAGAGTCCTCAGCTCTGAACACTGGGAGCAACAAAGTCTAACATGAGGACTGCGGTAACCACAACTTGCTAGAAGCGACTCACACTCAGATGGAGTTTAGGGTTAGAAGCATGTATAACTGTGCATTGCACACTTTACACAATGTACAAAATTTTACACGAACCACTAAACACTGCAGCATCAACTCTAGTGCATGAAAATCGCATGTTCATTTTATGAACACTCACTAATTACACGTGTTTGGCCAGATGGGGGCAATCTTGAGCCATAAAAAAATTCTAATCAAAAGCCCCTAAGATTTCGCTGCATTCTGTGGTTGTAGGGATTTTCCAAATATAAAATTTATGGGGGTTTTTCTGATCAAATCGTGAATTTTGAAGAAGAATCGGCAGTTGAGACACTTGTTTGACGTAGGCGCTTTAACATTTTCATTTTTCATTGTCAAAGCTGTATACTGGCATTCTAGACCACAGATCTTTGTAGTGGTTTTATAACTAGTGTTCTCCAGTGTATACAATGAGGTTACTAGGGCAACTAACGACTGCTTCCTTGTATTATCTGATGCGTTTGCCATGAAATGGAGGGACTGGAAACGTCAGTGTGTGGTGAAGGGGTCGGGAAGGGTCGTCCGGAGGCAGAGCGGCACCTGGACCCACGCAGAACACCTTGTCGAAGTCTGCGCAGATGCACATCTGCTTGTACAGCTGCGGAGACTGAGCCAGGTAGGCGCTGGTCTTGAAGTAGGACACGGTGAAGACGTTGGCGCCCCCCTCGCTGGCAGCTGCGGGGGCAAACGACAGACGGGCTGTCAGAGTGACGGCAAAGTGGCCAAACCGTGCCGCATTATCACAGTCCCGGGGACAAAATGAACCAAATTATAAGTAAACAAATGCAAACATCCACTTTCAATGCGTCTTCAGATTCTTCATACCTTGCAACGACAAGCAAAAGAGAATCCACGCCTGTTTGATATGGCACCACCTGTGACGTATTGCTCATTGGTGTAAACACAAAAATCTCACCCCCACATGTATAACTCACATGGGTATTAAATTTGTACCAATGGGTGGTCAATCAATACACTTTGTTCTGTTTGGGCGTAGCTAAACGGAAGATGTGGTTTTGTTAGAGTACACTCTGTCAGAGGTGGTGTTCTCTGGGGTTAGCAACTCTGCCACTGGGGCGGCAATTTCAAACTGAAAGACGTCAGCAGGCTGCGTCCTGATTGGCTGGTCTAAAAAAAGCCAAAATAAAAGGGGAACAGCCAGAACTCTCCGAGAACACATCTCACAGCACGTAGACACCAACTGCCACTCTCAGCGCACCGCCAGTTGGGGTTCAAGATCGATTCTAAGTGGCTCATGAAAGGCTAAGCGGGCAATTTACAAAGGTTGCAAAATGAGTGAGTGTGTCTGAGTTTAATGAAGTCAGTTATATGTGGTTCACACATTATAGCAGCTCCCCTCCCACAACCCCATTTCGTAGAACAGCCGTCTCATTAAAAATCAGTGGAGGCCACAGAGCTGGCTACAGTCTCCATTAGCATGTAGCTACACTCCATAAACCCCTTGTTAAGCTGAGCTTCACACAAGTGACCCTCAAAAAGGAGGGAAGCGGAGTGACCCCACAGCCGGTACTCTGCCCCTTAAAGGGCCAGCGTGTGATTAAACGGACACGACACGTGAGGGGAAAAAATGCTTATTTACAACATTGCACAAGATCACCGGTTAACTCCACGGGCAGAAACGTAACTTGACCAATAGTTCGATTAAGTGGCTAAGCAGTGAGCCAGAAGGGAGGCTTCCTGGCCCAGCAGGATCAGGACGGTGGTACTCTGGGTTAAATGGCATTTCTCAGGAGCTGATCTTGGGAGGGAGGTGGCTGGATCCTGCACTGGGAGGTATCACAGCATGAGCAGAACCAGAAGGCCCGTTCATGTGAGGTGAAAGAAAACCCAGATGCTGTTCAACTAACAACCTTTAAGGGTTTACGGTCAGGCGTTAGCATAAATGCTATACCGGTGCAGCATTACGTAGATCCTGAAATTGAAATGAAATGAGTAGGAATAAGAATGAAATCCCAAGACAGGTTACTGCAGGTGGGTCCGTGTTCCAGCTAGTAGGGTCACCAGGATGCCCAACAGATACTGCAGTGATTAACAGAGATGGAAAGTTCATGTCCAGAAAGTACAGATCCAGACCAAGGTTTTGTTCCAACCAACCAGTTGAGTATAAAGAGTCACAGTCACAGAGTACGCGACTGGTTGGTTGAAACAAAACCTGGGTCTGGATTTTCTGGACATGAACTTTCTATCTCTGGTGATTAAAAAGGTGGACTTAACCCAAAAGTTCAGAGAATAGGCTGGCCTATAGTATCCTCGGCATGGTACTTAACTTCAGTAATCTCAAACTGTAGAAACTGGCACAATTTTTCAGCTGCAGTGTAATATCGTGTGTAGTGCGGATAAAGGGGAAAAAAGGAGAACAGAAATGCATGAGGTACCTGATATGATTTTCGGGGTCTGGATCTCCACAAAGCCCTTGTTGATGAGGGTGTCCCTGAAAAGCTGACAGACCCCTGACTGGAGACGGAAGATGGCCTGGCTGGTGGTGGTCTGGGGGGGGGGGGCAAATGGTGTAAGCAAAGCCGATGGCCGTAAGTCACTGCTCAGAAAGACGAACAAGGACACACTGAATAATGATGTCAACCACAGTCATTACCATTAACTACAGTCTCAAATTACCTTTGTAGTCAGGCTATGGAAAAATGTTCATGGGATCTGGCAGGCAGAGTCATCTTTTAACACCCAGCTCTCAATAAAAGGCAAGGAATTTGATAAATTATACATATGCTGCAGAAATTATACGGTGGGCAATCTGCAGTCTCTGCTAGGGCGTCGTATTAGCAAAACAACATCTGTTTTAAGGAGTGAAAAAAGGATCTCATTGAGGGCCGGTGACTACATCAAGCTGGGTTTTGGGGCCTTCGGTTGCCCTCAGTCTCCATTCACTCCATCCGAGGTTCAAAGCGGCGGCTTGCCCTCCCCCAGAAAGACAGAGGGCCCCCACACACCTGCTCAGGTCTTGCAGAAACCCAAGAATACAATGCTAGCTCTCATAGATGATTCTCAGCACCACAGCATAAGGTACTAGTGTCCAGGACTCGACACCCACAAGCACCCAGGGGGTGCAGTTAAATACACCCCCCCCCCCGGCTCTGACTTTCAACTCAAACTTGAATCACAGACAAGTATTTGTCATCTAACACAAGCCTGCATTATCCATATCCAGGTCAAGTATGAAACCCGTAAGTAAAGTAAAGTGAGAGTTTAATCTGAAGGCCATTTAACAACTTAAGTGGGGAATTTACTAAGCGACTGTCACGATTTCCTTATTGTTTAGCTGTCATTTATTCTGAGAGCTCAAAACCTGTGTGGGGTCGTCTGTCGCAAGGCTCTGGCGTCAGAGGCCCGTTGCGTGAGACTGTTTACAGAGCGTGGAGTACGCCCACACGCTGCTCGGGGCGAAAGTGAGATTGGAGCCCAGCGTCTGAGCCATGAAGCTCTCACTGACAGCGACCTCGCTCTCCAAAACCACACGCTCTAATTTTCACGGCTTTTTTTTTTTTTTATAAAAAAAAAAAAAAAAAAACCTAGATCACCATGGTTACCTGACGTAACAATAAACGCCATCAGTGCTGTTTTTCCTTTGAATGTTTACATCAAGTCAAAAACCCCGAAACCTTCCAGCAAAAAAAAATTTTTTTAAAAAATCAAGTGATATTTGTGTACCAATGACCTTAGATACCATCTACACCCCATTATCTATGTTCTTGTTAATCAGAGAAAAAACATTGTGGTAAGGATCAGACCTCAAGAGACATTTCACCTCCATCTCCGACAGTTTGCAGCTGCCAAATCCCACTGCCAGCTCCTCGGGTCAGAACCACACTGCAGCCACCATCTGAGCCAAAGTGTTAAAAACCACCTGGCTGCCTGTTCTTTAAATGCAATAAGCAGGTCTTGCAGCTTACAGACAGACTGCCATGATATGGCACCTTAATCCCACAGTCTCCAAGCTAAAATGCTGTTTTGCCTTCTCAGAGCAGCCCCCCCCCCCCCCCAATTACACAGCAAAGGCAGTAACTGAGGGATGCTCTGTTCCAGTGATAAGGTTTGGCTTTCATTCGCAGCATCAGGAAAAGCGCGTGGTTTGGCAGGGCAGAGACGGATGCCGTGTGGAGAGACTGAGCTGAGCTGAGACGGGGGGGCCCGCAGCTGCCAGCGAGGGGGGGGCACCAACGTCTTCACCGTGTCCTACTTCAAGACCAGCGCCTGCCCTGCTCAGTCACCGCAGCGGTACAAAGCCACGGCACGTTCTGAGCCTCGGATGGGGCCGTGGTGCCCAGCATACGGCTGTAAAAGGCCGTGACTATGCCCATAGTGTCTGCTTTACCACTGCAGCCGCAGCGCCTGATGAAGAGCAGCCGATTTGCTTAGAATGCTGGGTGTGGGCGGGGCTACAAATTAAATGGCAAATCCTGACCCCTTTTACAAAGAGCTGGAAGAGCTGCTCCCCGCCTGATCGTGCCAGATCCGTTTCTGGGGAGTCGGCATGTGAAGAGGCCCAGGCTGATTGAGGGAGTGGGAGGGTGGAGTGACTGAGTTCTGAAAGCAGGGCAGGGCCGGGACTCACCCTGAGGTCGATGACCCTATTGTCCAGCTTGGTGTCCTGATTGACGGTAGCTCTCCCTTCCTGCAAGAGACAAAGTGACCTGTTACCGTTTGTGTTAAACGGTAATAACCGTTATAAACTCAGGAAGGCGGCCATGCCGCTGGAAGAGGGCAGGGAACACTGCACTAAAGTGTAGATGCTACAGAGTTTATCGAGCTGTACAAAGGGACGCCATGTAAAGGCACCACAAAATAATGCAAGGAGACTTAATAACAGTCGCCAAGCAACAGCCTTAAAAAATCCTATCAGATTATTTTGATCCCAATATTCATTAACTGCACTTTCAAAATACATTCATAGAACATTCTCAAGCAGCATGCAAGTGTACCATAACCTCCTTTAATGTACTATAAGCTTCTTTAATGTACCATAACCTCATAACATACCTTAACTGAATTAATATACATTAACAAAAATTACAAGATTTGGTTACATTTTTTTTTATTATCATGTGATTGCAATTAATGCGAATCAAAGCAGGAACTAAAGAGGTAAATAAAAGCCCTTTGCTGAAAAAAAAAGGCTAGGATCTACTTTATCCATCTTCTGTCTTCCATAATCTCTTATCCAGCATAGGGTGTTACAGCCTGGATCCCATCCCAGGGACTAAAGGCAGGGGAACACTGTGGGTGGGAAGTCAGTCCAACCCTGGATAATCACACACACCCGCAGCCGCACACATACTAACGGCAGCTTAGAGGCACTGGTCGGAAGAACAAATACAACAAAATCTGGGTAGAAGAGTAGACTGAGAGAAGAGTAGATCTGGCACTTCACATTATGTGGGTGTCTTAGTCCGGCTTTGAGAAATTCAATTTACAGTTTTTTCCAATCATTTTAACGCCTGTCTCAATACCATGTCCACTTTTTCACAACACTTCACACAGTGGGCTGTACCAATACACACCTGAGCACATCACTTAACCTTTGGTGCAAAATGCCCTACAACCACCAAAACGTTTCACAATTCACCCAAAAGTGACTCATGCTGCCATAACAATGACAAATGCTGTCACCCAACAACACTGCTGGGGCACTCAATGTTCAATGGGCTAATAAACACTAACAACTTTCAGCATTGCAAATTACATATATAAAGTGTGGCTGTATCCTCCAGTTCAGGCACGAATTACTGTCATGTTGCACTGTAAAAATAAAATAAACAAGAACTACTTTTGCGTGTAAAAATTGTAATACCAACCAATTCCAAAATGCTGTAATATATTTCATTAGAAATCATGTAAGTGTTGCTGTTTCTTTTTTGCAGTATGTAAATATTTCATTCCTAGCAGAAAATGCCAATCCAAAGATGGCCCCTTTTGTACATGTGGCAAATTGGCACTAACCAAACAAATTCCTAGATAGGTTCTTTCAGGCAGTTTCATTCAGCTTTCCAGCTTCAACCATTGTAAAATGCTTGGGGTGATCTAGGGCAGGGGTCTCCAACTCCAGTCCTGGAGAGCTACTGTCCAGTAGGTTTTCTATCCTATCTGGCTTCTGATGAGTCACACCTATACTCAAGTAAATACCAGGAGCAGGTGTGGCTCATCAGAAGCCAGGTAGGATAGAAAACCTACTGGACAGTAGCTCTCCAGGACCGGACTTGGAGATCCCTGATCTAGATCACCCCAAGCATTTTACAATGGTTGAAGCTGGAAAGCTGAATGAAAACACACACCAGCCTGAAATTTCAGCTAAGAACCTATCTAGGAATTTGTTGGTTAGTGCCAATTTGCCACATGTACAAAAGGGGCCATCTTTGGATTGGCATTTTCTGCTAGGAATGAAATATTTACATACTGCAAAAAAGAAAC